ATATATATATATATATGTTTAAAACAAAATTGTTACTTTTAAACCTCTATATATATTTATTGAATAGCATGTGCACAACTACAATTAACCTATTTAGGTGAAATCAAATAGAGATATATTACATATTATTCGTATTGTTCAAATAAAATCAAATAGACATATACATGAGTTTAAAAAAAATTATTCATACACATGATCAATGAGGGATAAAAAATCCATTTTGAAAATTGTGAGGGATGTAAAAATTCATTTTGTGAAATGTGAGGGACGAAACAATTCATTTTGTAAAATATTATGGACAGAAAAAATTCATTTTGTGAAATGTGAGGGATTATGAATGGGATTATGTAAAATTTAATTTGACAATTTTGTCCTTAAAAAATGATCACATGTAAGGCACGTGGTGGATTACGGTAAAAAACTAGTCAAAAATTTAGATAGAAATCAAATTTGACCAATGTGAATTTGTAAGGGATGTAAAATTACACTTTAAAAATATGAGGGACGAAAAAAGTCATCTTACAAAATGTGAGAAACATTTTGAACGATTTTCACTAAATTAAATGCAACTAATTATTCTACTTGAAGCCCAGAATGGAAGACTATTTGTACTGTAAAGATTTGTTTGATCCTGTTCTAAGGCATGTGGCTAAATCAAGTGACATGAGTGATGATAAAGGGACAGTTATGCACAGAAAAACTATTGGTAATATTAGAAAGTGGATTGGACAAAGTATCTTTCAACACTTTGCTAATAGCACCAAAGCTAATATATTGTGAAAAAAGTTTGAGAGCATGTATGAACGGAAGACCGATTTGAACAAGACTAATTGTCTGAAGCAGATTACTTAAATGAGATATAAATATAGGGAAGATATGACTGAGCACCTGAATAATTTTTAGGGATTGATAAACCATGCAGCTACGTTGAATTTGTATTTGGATGATGAGGAGCAGGCTCTTTTACTATTTAGTTCACTATCAGATAGTTAAGAAATCATTGTGGTCTTCGTCAGTAATTCATCTCCCAATATTGTGTTGACCATGGCTATTGCAAAAGAGGCCATAATGAATGAAGAGTTCAGGAAGAAGAAACAAGAAATTGTCTATGAGTCCTAGGCCCTGGTGACTGAAAAGAAAGAAAGAAAGAAATGGGAGAAGCAAAAACAGAGAACCCCACAATAGGAATGACAAATCTAGAAGCAGGTCTGAATCGCAAAAAAAAATTGCATGCTTTTATTGCAAAAAGAATGGACATTATATGAAGGAGTGCAGAATTTTAAAACGGGAACAATCTAAAAAAAAAAGGTAAGACGAAGGAAAAAGATGATAAGAAGACTATAGCAATTTTGGCAGCTCATGCTGATATGTCTTTGTTCTGTGCTGATGGTCATGTGAATATTATCTGTTATGACATTGATTAGGTAGTTGATTCAGGCATATTCTATCATGTTATTTCTTAGAGGCATTTCTTCTCAACTTACACCGAAGGAGACGTTGGCTATGTTGGGATGGGAAATGAGGTTTCGTACAAAATTGTTGATATAGAAGACATATATTTGGACACAGATACCAGGTACCAATTAATCTTGAGAAATGCTCGACATGTTTCTAATATTCACCTTAATTTTGTTTTTACAGGAAAACTTGATATTTGATATTTGAACCTGTAGACTCAAAAACAGCAAACAATTTTGAATTTTGAACCTGTGGACTCAAAAACAGCAACAGTATTTGTTGCTGTCTAATATCAGTTCAAATATTAGTGATATTTTATCAAATATTAGTGAAACACAAATTAGAGTACAACGTTTGAAGCACTATGATCCAAGACAATATATAGTACAGGACATAAATATGTTTGTCATTTAACATGAGACTTTTATGTATCTATATGTGTATACACCATAAATAGGAATATACTTATATACAGCGGTGCAGTAAAGACCGATTGCCATTACAAGAGTATTGTAAACCTAATATGATGTCGTTACTACGCAAACATAACATCTCATGTACGATTATGTTTCTACTATGAATATTTTTTGGTAGTAAAATTTTTGAAGTCATTTCTTATTCTATTTATTAATTTTTGTTTTAATAGCTCCAAAGCAATTGTACCACACTAGAGAGGTCGTCTAAAAGAAATTGCTTATTTGAGGAAGTTAATGCGGTGACAACATAACGATTTCCCATAATATAGGGAGCAAAATTAAAGGAAATTTGAGAGTGGTAAATTATAAGAAAATTATAAACATTTGTGAAGATTTCCAACCTGTTCTTTAATATTCACAAAATTGAGGTCAGGCAATATTTGCCACCCTCTACAAAGCATGGCTCTGCCTCTTCCTATATATTCCAGGGGAGAATTCATTTTGTTTTTTCACTCAGATGTTGCGTCTGAAGGCTTAGAGCTTCCTGTTTTTATCATTTGTCCTGCTACCAAACCAACAATGTGTCCTGCACATCAACACGCCGATTCAACTATCATGTCCTGCTAATCTCTTCAATCAAATCTCTTCTTCATCTTCATCTATAAGTATCTCACCAGCTCGACTTCATTTCAACCACAAAAATGTTCTACCCTTCTATCCTTTTGTTATCCAAGCTAGCTTAGATTATCTATAAGCTTGCTAAATAATTCCTAGTTCCAAATGATTAAAGACATTTTGCGCTTTTAACTTCGATAGCTTCCAGTTTCATTTACTTTGGCTTTGCATTTGATCCTAGCTACAAGTTCAGGTATGCCCTCTCATATCAACGTACATATTATTTTTGTTGAGTTTTCAATTCTTGGTTATTGATGATTCCAATTACTTGAGATGTCGAAGGAATCTGCAAGCCTAGATTCAATTAGGTATGTGCATACAGGGCTGCAACTGTTATATAATGAATTAAAAATGAGATTTGTAGTGGGAAGTAAGGGGTTGGAGTTGAGAGCATATGCTCCATGCTTTGGAGTCTACCTATTAAGGAATAACATGATAATTGGATGCAGAAGATTTTCCAAAATATTATTTTACTTGCATCATAATACAATTTTCAACTATTCTTTTATGAATAAATTTTATATACACTATCATAGTTGGATGCACAACACATACAAAATTTGGATTTCAATTCAAATTCAAATTATATGTTATGCATTCAATGATGAAAGTGTTTACACTGTCAATGTATAGAAAATTAATTCTTCTTTTATACTCCTAAGTATCCTATATCTCATATGCATCACATTACAAAAAGTATTACAGTAATTATTTCAAATAATATTGCTACTATATCCCAACACACTAGATTCATTTTGGTATGTAGCTAGTTTCGCTCACTGATTTGTTCTTTTGCATAATCTCAGTGAGAGTACATGGTCTTTGCCCGCAAGGATCCTAGCCTTGCTACGGTAGAGGATTTTTCTTTCAGCGGATTGCATAAGGCTGGAAATAGTAATGATGCTTTCGGGGGGGAAAAACCACCATAGTTAAGGTGGAAGTGTTTCCAGGACTGAATATTCTTGGCACCTCAATCACCCGTGTTGATATCGGACCTAGAGGAACTATCGTCCTCACTGCCACCCTAGATCATTGGCAGAACTAGAAAATTTTCTTTTGAGGGAGCAAACCCTAATTCAACTAAAACTTAAGTATATAACTAGAGAAAATTTTAATTTTTTGCAAGGCAAAACTTTAAATTTACAAAAAATTTTTTTTTTTTAAAATTCAACTTTTCAAGGGAAAAAACTTAATTCTTTAAAAGTTTTGGAAAGGTCTAATTTCATCCATGCTCTAGATCATCATAGATTATTACAATTCTTAAAGGCACACCCCCCTTTTTTTGCACTTTTTTCTTTTAGTGTAAGTAAGAGGTCTCAAATCCGAGGATTTTCACTTACACTCTCTTTTCTCGTACCAATTAATCCATCTCTTTCTCCCTCTTGAAGGCACACTTCTTTTAGGTTTTGTCACTTCAAATCCAGAAAACCAAGTTAACGAGGGTGATGTGTTTGTTTTTTCAATGGGACTTATTCACTTCCAGTATAATCTAGGAAGTGTACCCGTTGCTGCCCTTAATTTCTTGAAGTGTTCATTGCAAATTCTTTCTTTCGATCATATCCATCCACCAATCGAAAAAGACATTCTAGCCAAGGCATTTCAAGTTGATAGATCCGTGGAAAAAATTCAATCCAAGCTTTAGAGCAGCTGTGGAACTGAAATATGAAACTTCTACCAGTCAGCTTCGTGAATTCACCTGTGCTTTTTGTTTGTTGTTGCTTTCAAGTTTGCATTTTGATTATAGTGGTTTCCACTTCTAGTGGGGATATGATTTCTTGCAACATTCATTTTGTGTTGCTATTGAATTAAACATAACTTACCCAAAACAGAGTTCACCTTTGTGTTTGATCCTACTCAACTCCAAGTAGATACGCCAATCTCATGCGTTAGAACCCACCAAATCTGGCAGCATGTGTTTGTAATACTACTTTCTCTGTATGTACTCGTAGAGTCAATAAAACGCTAATACTTTGATTTAATTTCTTATACACAGAGACTAGACGGATAAATTGGTACAATTGGAGTTTAACATCTGAAAGCCATAGTAAATCAACCTATGTTTGGAGGAAGGGGGAGGACGTGTAAGTAAAAGGTTTCGTGTTCGAGACTTTCCACTCGCATTAAAAAAAAAAAATCGACCTATGCCTTACTTTCATAATCTAAAGCTATATAACCATTATTTGGGTAAGAATATATGCATAACTTTGCCAAATGCACAAACTGGAAGTCTGATCCCACTAGCCGAATGTTAGAACCGTTGGTCTTGCAGATGATCAGTATATAATTGAACTACCCAATCTGGAAACAAAATTTATGCCTTACCATATCATAAACAAAAGGGCAAAAAACCTGGGCGGCCATTAAACTTTTCTCAAGGTCATGTTTTGGCCATCGAACTATTTTTTGTCAATAATTGACCACTAAATTACTTAATCAGTGAACTCGTGCCCATTTCGTCGGTAATGACTCTTAGTTTCTGAAATTAACATTCCACGTGGCAAATCACAGGGGCAATTTTGTCCATCAATCCACTGACCGTTTACTTACAATCTCTGAAAATTATAAAAGAGGGCGCAAAGATAACAGGGAAAGAGGGATGGAAAACCTTTCTGCAGATTCCGTCAGCCACTTTTGTTCTGACAAAATCAGCGAAAACAGTTGTTCCGCTTGACAAACAGAGTTCATAGAGATGTATGGGCCTTAAGGGACTAGGTCCAAGAACCAGAATTAGCCACTCAACTTGTGGAATCTGAGGGATCAAGAGCTAAAGAGCAGTCTTGAAATTAGAGACAGTTGATTAGTTTTTCCAGTCTTCTGATACCCTGCTTCACCTCTCACTTTCTGGAAATGTGCTTTCTCCTTAAGGCTGCCTTCATCTCAGCTTGCGAAGCTAGTACTATTTCCTAGTATTCCATAATTAAATTTTAAAAAAAAACATCGTTGGGTTTTCAGAGGAAAATGAATAATGACAAGCACAAAAGTAGGGCTCTACTCACCAAATCCTTGTACTCCTTCTGCAATTCGCCAAATTCGAGGCTAATATCCTGCAAAACACTATGGAGAGAAAGTAAAAGCGAATGCATTAGTTGGGGATTGTATAATTTGAAAAAAAAGATTTGGCAGAATCTTTAACTGTCAACGGGAAAGGGGGAAAAAGGAAAAAGAAAAAAAAAGAGCAGGTAAGGCTAGTGTGCAAACGAAGGGATTTGATGGTGCATATAGAGGACGAAGGCGAGAATGTCGGTGACAACGTGGAAAATGACAGAGCTGTTGAGGGAGTCTGATGCTGTGTCGATGTTGGTAAACTCTGAAGTGTTATCTCTGCGTCCTCTTTTAGCTCCTAAAGTGCAGACCACAAATCTTCTTGCTGGGTTCCAATTTGTCCATGAGGTCTTCACCATTGTTGTTAATCAGCAGGAGCATCTAGGTATGAGTTTAAGAGAGCGTCTCAACATTCTTTGTCTTCTTCGATTTCTCACACAGAATTTAGGGCTGGAAATTGAGTCCCTATTTTTCCCTCCACAAGACCAGACACTTCAGTTGGCTTCCATCGCTTTTTTTCTTTTCAGTTGATGCCATTAAGGTAAGTAAAGGGTCAGTGGATTGACGGACAAAATTGTCCCTGTGGTTTGCCACGTGGAATGCTAATTTCAGAAATTAAGAGCCATTACCGACGAAATGGGCACGGGTTCACTGATTAAGTAATTTAGTGATCAATTATTGACAAAAAATAGTTGAATGGCCAAAACATGATCTTGAGAAAAGTTTAATGGCCGCCCAAGTTTTTTGCCCTAAACAAAATGTGAGGAAACATCATACATTTTATAACCAAAAAATGGAAAAAAAAAAAAAAAAAAAAAAAGCTACTTCACATGGAAAGAGACGGTGGTTTGGCTATTTAGCTTGTACAGCTCTACCTCAAAAGATGTAAGACATTGAAAATTCACAGCTGGTTCACAACCTACAAAACAACCTAAAAACACCTTCGAGGAAATCAATTAAAGATATAGCAAGCACCCTCAAAATATCAGAACATATCATGCTTCCTCCCACGCCCTAAAAAGAGAGAAAAAGTAAAAAATATCACATTTTTACCTAAAGAGCCAAGAATAAAACAATGTGGTCTACTAGATCCCCATATATTTGCTGAGAGAACTGGTAGTGCTATCTTATCCTCGACGAGGGAAGTGCTGATCCTTCAGTATTTTACAACACCCTAAACACAGGCCAACAGCTATCATGATTCTGTCATGCCAGCATGATGACTAAACAGGAACTCTCTTGCCACGATAGCGGTCAAAGAACTGCACAGAGGAACTAGCAAATTCAGATATAATCTACTAACATTGCACATGCATATGTTTAAACACTCCAATAAGGACAAGAACAGAAACAGATCTTTAAAAATGAAACAAATAAAGGAACTTTACAAAAAAAAATTTCAACATAAACAGAGTGAGAGAACAGAAGAGTAATTATGAAAATATGATTCTGTAACATCAAATGGCAGCTAAAACACACAACTTCATTCATATCATTAAAAAGAATCTTTTTCCCCTAATGATTAATGCATCTCTGAAGCATTTCAAAAAAAAAAAGGGTAAACAAAACCAACAACAAAACATAAAACCCCCATTTGGAATACAAAAATAATAAAAAAAAAATGCAAGACTCAAGTTCGCAGTTCTGAATGAATTTAAAAGGAAGATGCCTAAAATACAAAATTGGTAAAAGTTAAACTAATCTTTTCACCAGTCATACATTTAGACAAAAGAACATCCTTTCCATGTTACTTCTCTTAAATTTTATCTCTATTTTCTTTTTCTTTTAGAGGATGTAGAAGGAAGTTAGAGTCCTCAAGGCAAGAGTGCGAAGCTTTGGGTTCATGAAAATCCAGGAAGTTAATTCAAAAGAACATGGTTGCGATCACTATCAAAGAAGCAGCATCCCAGGTGACAATCATCATCACTCTTATCACGCCTTCACACACAACGAGGACTTCATAGATGCATATCAAATATCAACATGTTTAACAGTGCTAAAAGCTCAACATTTCTCAATTTCTATGAATAATAAAGTGAAAAGTTGCATTGCACAATTTAATGGATCTCACTCAAATGTCAGCCAGCTCACTTTCTAATAGTCGAATCTCTTACACTAGCCATAAATTACTTATGAAGTTAGTCATTGCCATAAACATCCCTAAATTTTTAAGGACTGCATAATACAACTTTATTACATTATGCTTTGCTTTGATCCTCCTAACACAACTCAAATTGTCATACACACAACTCTGAAAATTGAACAATTAGAACACAAATGTGTGCCTTAAAAATGACGAAAACAGTTCCTCTTTCAGAGTTCCACTGTTTCCTTCTGCAAGGGGTTGTAAATAAGTGTAAGTCAGGAAAATCATTGTATAAAACTTAGATATTGAAACAGAATTCATAATTTACTACCAATAGATTCTTCATCCTCTCGAACGCACTCAGCGCCCGGAAATTATTTCTTCCCACAAGCAAAAAGAAGAAATAAAAAAGAGAATCGGCTTCAAAATCGTAATGCACAGAACACTCTTTGAGTGTTGGCAGTAAGCAAAAGAGTTAGGCACACAGAGTTGCCCTTAAGAATTTATCATAATTGTATTAGTCCACATGCATGATAAAATAAGCTATATAGACGTTAAATAGCACAAGGCATACCCAAAAGAATACTAACATTGGTGAACATGCAACCAAAACCTTGCATCACATATCCTTTTCACTGAAACTTCTTATCATGCTGCATCTTCTAAAAAAATATTTTGCAACACACCTAGTCTGCAAACAGAACTTACCGATCTAATATATGGCTGCTGAAACACCCAACCAAGAATGGGTATCTTTTGAAGAAAAACTGCCAGTGTCGGCCAAAACCCACTGCAAGAGGTACCTTATGAGAAACCAATAACTGCTACTAAGATCAAATTACCATTAAAGGCCAGAGGCAGTCCAACAAACCTGAAGAGCACAATGAACCCATAAGCCTCCAAGATGATTCCTAATATTGGCCAGCCTATGACAACCAAGAAAAATCCAGCACCAAATGATATTGTTCCCTATTGAATAACCAAATACAAACTCAACCAGTAAGAAATAATACACAAGTTGAGAAACCTAACACAGACAGGAAAGTACTTCAAACCTTATAATTGGCACGCTTCGTGAAGAATTGCATAGATGACTTCAACCCAATGGTCAATGTAACCCCAGAAAAGAAAAGGATCTGATTCAAGGTGATAAGAAATGTTTTAAGCAAAATGGCAAAGAATATGAAAGAGGCACAAAGCAAGGAAAATACGGTAAACAACTATTTTACTTACATTTCCCATTGCAATTAGCCCCTTGTCAAAGAAGAAAATGACCCCCAGGAATGAGAAGAAAACCCCAAATCCCGTCAATCCCAGGCCAATCTCTGTTTCAGAACAGCAACCCAAGTTTTTAAAACCGCAAAGGTGCAACAAAGTATCTAAAATGCATCATGACAAGTAATTAAGAAGCTCAGTTGCAATAGCAAGAATGAAAGTCAGACCTTCACAAAAAGAGAATAATAACCAAACATTTACACAGCCAGCTCATCATGGCCCTTATTGGTGGTGTATACATTTGACGATGGGAAAGTGAAGCACACTGCAACACCCCCCCCCCCCCCAAAAAAAAAAACAAAAACCCAAAAACACACACACACACACAACGAGCTGCCCCTTCGCATTGTAGCTCATTAGCCTTAATGAGTTCAAGCTCTTAGAAGTTCCACTTACAATTGAACCTACTAAAATTCTTGATTAAAGTCCCTTCCACCCTTCACTGAATGAAAAGTGCCAGATCAAGTTTTTAAATAATATATATTAGGCAAAGCATGCAAAAGAAACGCTATACTTGGACAAAACTAGTAAAGTCTTCAAGCCTGAAGTCACCAATTGTACAGGTATACTCTGAAATCTAATTGTTCCTTCAAAGGTAAGCGAACAGGAAGATAAATAACTTTCCCAATAGCTTTGTAGTCTAAACTATTCCAGTCAAACATTTACATTAACACAAGCTTTTTCTCACTTGCAAAGCTTCCCTTATTAATCCACTTACCCTCTCGTTTTCTCACTATATTTTCTTTCATGAACATATTCAAACTCTATCTATATTTTCTTTCAGCTTATAAATTTATCCAAGAACATGAAAGGTACTAGACCAGTTGAAGTAAGTTCTTATCAACAAAATGCTACTTTCTCTTATTTGTATCAAGTTTGCAATTTGTATTAATGAACTGAAGTATGCTTGATTTCTGAAGTTATTAAGCAGTAAAGCTACAAACATACAACTTCAGCATAATATCACTTTAGAAGCCATAGCTTAAACATCTAAAGGGAGTGTGCATTTGTGTGAGAGTGTTTGTGAGTGCATAACTCTACTAACCAAAAAGCACAGCTCTTTAACTGATAGTTCACTAAACCCTCCATAAAACATGATTGTACGATTAACTGAAACTACTATGAGTTTTCTCTTCAAAATTACTTCACAGATCGTTGATGACCTTTGTACAATTAATCAAATCATCTCTTCACTGTCAAACAAAAGGAAGAAAATGCTTGTCCAGAATCAGCTGCAAATCAATTTGTGATCCAAAATTTGCTTGTCCTCATACAGATTTGGCAATGTCACAGCACTACTAAAACTAGCTATGTAGAGAAAATCAATCCGCTGAATTGACTGCATATACCATGTATTCATAAAACGCTACTGTTAGCAGATATTCAGCCTCAATACTCCTTTAGGCTACAACTGCCCATAAAGATAGCATCCCAAGCTTCAACCTTTGTACATATACCATCGAACTCATCCCAGGTATCCACCCGAAGTACTAAAGCTAGCATCTTTCAAGGAAATAATCACTATTCCAACACTTCATTAAACTTACACTGCCCATAAATTTGAGATTGACTTCAAGCATCCTCTACACCATGTCAAGTCAATCACAATTTTTAGATTTTTGTACCCGACATATTACCTATTTCACTTTCATGAAGTAGAAAACTAGAAATAGTAGCACAAAAAATCAACAAAGAAGAAGAAGAAGAAGAAGAGAAGGCACCCGCTATCAAATTTTCGTATCCAAACTTGCTAAATATACCGATTAACAGACCAATTGGATATGGATAACCTAAATACAGCATTTGCAACTAAAGTCCACATCAATCCTAAACCATCAGATATCAATTTCGTCTCGTGCCACTAAACCAGAGCACAAATCATTCAATTAAACGCAAAAGAATAACAAAATATCGTTCATCTAAAAAAAAACTCACTTTTAATATCGTTCATCTCAAAGGACACCATTTTTCCAATTGAAATACAAAACCCGATATGGATTCAACGAAGCCTGCTGACCAAATCCAAGTGAAAATGAAACCTGCGAAGACAATAACCACAACAATAATCAAATTAAACCAAAAAATCTCGAATTTAAGTAACTCAATTAGAACAAGAATCCAAATGAAACGAATAAAAAAGAAATAATCAAGTAATTAGAAAGTGATCTAGGGTTTTGGGATCGTAAAAGATATCTTTCTTTCTGTCTACCTTCTTTTCCTTTTCTCTTTTTCTCCTCCGAATCTGCACCAAATTAACTGAGTCTATCTACTGCGTGTGTGTGTGAGAGAGAGAGAGAAGCAAAAGTGGAGCTATGAAAGTTATAGCATAGGATTGTAGCTGAGATGGGAATGGTATGGGCTACTCTGTTAGTCTAGTCTTCTTCTTTGAAGGGAAGCAACGGGAGTTTTTCATTTGCTTGATGAGGTTGTTTTACTATTAGTTTTGGCAATGTGACAAAATAAATCACTTGCTAATACTATTCAGATCTTAATATATTCAAGGGATAATTGCAAAAACCTCTCCTGAGATTTCTGACATTTGCATTGACCTCTCCTGTAGTTTGAAAAATTACACTGACCTCCCCTAAGATTATTAATCCTTTGCAAATTTAGTCAAAACGATTAAAATATTTATTTTATGGAGTAAAATTAGAATTTTGTACCAGATTTGCCCTTTGTGCTACATATCCAATGAACGACAAAATACTATAAATCAATTAACAATTAATAAACTTTAAGGAGTATAATTTATGGGCAAACACGCATTACTCATTTAAAGTACCGGCTCTTTACGGGTATTTTACTTTCAAATATTTAATTTATGATAAATATATCAATATTTGTAAGTAAAATTCAAAAATTGTTATAGTAATACTCTTGCAAAAAGGAAATCGATAGGTTATTTATTTAATATAAATTAAATATTTTTTTAAAAAAATAAATGGCTCATAAAGTATTAATTTTTTATGACTTTCATCCATTACACGAGTAAAGTATTCACTCTTTATGTGCATTTTATTCTGAATCATTTAATTTATATTAAATACACAAATGTTTGTAACTAAAATTGAAAAAGCGTTATATTAATATTTTTACGGAAGAGAGATTGGTAGGTTTTGTATTTAACAAAAATTAAATATTTGAAAATAAATACAAATCTGTATTTGAGCGTAAATATTTGTATTAAATTAAATATTTGAAAGTAAAATACTCTTAAAGAACCGGCTCTTTATAGGCAAACACGCATTATTCATTTAAAGTACCGGCTTTTTACGGATATTTTACTTTCAAACATTTAATTTATGATAAATATATCAATGTTTGTAAGTAAAATTCAAAAAGTGTTACAATAATATTCTTGCAAAAAAGAAATCGGTAGGTTATTTATTTAATATAAATTAAATATTTTAAAAAAAGAAATAGCCCATAAAGTATTAATTCTTTATGGCTTTCATTGATTACATGAGTAAAGTATTGGCTCTTTATGAATATTTTATTTTGAATCATTTAATTTATGTTACATACATAAATGTTTGTAACTAAAATTGAAAAAGTATTATATTAATATTTTTACGGAAGAGAGATTGGTAGTTTTTGTATTTAACAAAAATTAAATATTTGAAAGTAAATACAAATATGTATTTGAGCGTAAATATTTGTATTAAATTAAATGTTTGAAAGTAAAATACCCATAAAGAACTGGTACTTTAAATAGGTAATGCGTATTTGCCTATAAACTATATTTCTTAAAGTTTATTAATTGTTAATTAATTTGTAGTATTTTGTCATTCATTGGACATGTAGTGCAAAGGACAAATTTGGTAAAAAAAATTCTAATTTCACTTCCTAAAACAATATTGTAATCGTTTGGACTAAATTTGCAAAGGATTAGTAACCTCAGGGGAGGTCAGTGTAATTTTTCAAACCACAGGGGAGGTCAGTGCAAATGTCAGAAACCTCAGGGGAGGTTTCTGCAATTATCCCTATATTCAAACCATTTAATAACAAAAAATTGAACATGTGAATTAATTAGGTGCTACTGAATTTTTTATGTAAAATTTGCTCTCAAAACTAAGTAATAAATTATTCATTTATCATTGAAGGTATGTGATATGCATTCAAATGTACTAGATTTAATATTTAACAATTCAATAACTTAATGGATTGAAACTTTATATTTCAGATTTCAAACTTCAGCTTCATCAAATGCACCCAAATTTTATTTGTAAAAATTAATTTATTAAAAGTAAGTTTGTATTTTTGATAAAAGATTTGCATTTTATAGGTTAAATGCTGCTTTATGTCTAGTTGTCTGTTATATGTTTCTTGTACTAAATAGGTAGTTATATACAGTTGTCAGAGCCGTAACAGATAACTAATGCGTTTTTTATTTTTTGTTTTTTTTTTGGGATATGCCATTTTATGTGACTGTTTAGTCATTTCTAGTTTCCAATGATTCAATTGGATATGTTCCTTTCTCATAAAGTATGAATAGGTGTAGATGGTTGACGTTTGACAAAATAAAATAAAATAAAAGATGTCATGGCTTTTGGTGCCCTAGTTGGGGATAAAAGATGACAAAATAAAAACTCATTGAATTTTTTAACATAAAAAACCATAGTAGATGCCAAGTACTATATAGTACTAGTTACTTCGTCGACACACATCCTATGGCAAATTTAATCTAGCAAGAAATCAGATGATATGGGAAGACAAAGCGTTTGAACCTCTGCAAAATTTGCAAGCAGTGCATTGTTCAATTTCAGGTCAAGCTTCCTTTCGAAAGGAATTGTTTTGATCTCCGAGTTAGGAGCTCTTCAACTCAGTGGCATAATTCCTAGAGAAATATGTAATTTTTGAAAAACAGCCCCAAAAACAACTAATCCAAACGAACTTGTATTTAAAAAACGAAATGCTACAGTACTGTTTTTGAAAAACAACCCAAAAACAGCTAATCCAAACGGAGCCATGATTTTTTTCCCTTCAGGTATCAGCTGATATCCAAAATTTCACGGTTGCTTGTAATGGAGATAGTTTAGTTGATGGATCGTTCTCAATCCATGACTGTTCAGCAGGCATTGGATGGGTGTTTCAAGATCCACTTCATAATACAGTCCATAAAGGCATAAACAAAGCAAGAAGGTATATTCGTCATCTCCAATTTGCACCGAAGCTCTGATTTGTTTGGATGCTTTGATATGGGCTAAACAGCTGCAAATATGCCAGTATTTTGGTCAAGAAAGATTCCCTTCTGCTCATAAATTACATTATGATTATGGATCTATCCGGTTCGGAAGTGTATGTTAGGTCCATTATTCAAGACATAGTCTGTATGTCTCAATCTTTTGCTTCAATCATCTTTCTGAAGGTTAGTAGGTCATCTGTCAGTTTAGCTCATAATTTAGCTGTTAAAACTAGAACTCTGTAATTATTGTTTAATATTATCAAATGTTTTCCTTTCACAAAAAAAAAAAAGAAAAAAAAGCAGACCTAGTGTATTCATAGTTTTAATACCATGATTTAAGGACTAATTACACATTAGAAAAACTTTAAAAATTACATGCAAAAATTACCCCCTTGGAACTATTACTTGTTAGCAGTATGCATACTAAACTATCAATCTAAGCAATTAAGTATCTTAGACTATCAATTTGTAACTCATTACACAAATCCATTAAAAACCAATAATTTTTTTGTAGTAATTTTAAGTTTTAATCAAGAGACTTCTCCAATCAAAAGCCAAAGCTGGTCTATTGTCCAATTAGCAAGTTTTGGGAGGCTAAAGATGTAATATAGACAAATTGGTGGTTACATCTTGTGAATAACCGTAATTTTCTTTAGTAGAATAAAGGAAAAGGATAATTTTGAAAACCTCCACTAAGCTTTCCCCTAATGTCACTTAATGCCCTTGAGGTTTCTAAAATCTCACTTACTTTTTCTATCGGATTGATAAGGCTAGATTTCATTTTCAACGGTCACAAATTGATGATGTTACCATTGCATTCTTAATAATTATTCAACCAAAAATCCCTAACAAAAAGAGAATTTTTAACCCCCAAAAATATCCAAATGACCATCCAATATTAGTCCATATTACTATGTATCCAAGTGGTGGTGGGGCAACAAAAAAAGTGGTTAAGTAAGATTTTGGTAAGTTATTTACATCTTAAAAAATTTTGCAAGACGAATTTAAGGAAATCAAGCAATGTATTCAAGAAATATTTTAATACATGATATAATACAAGTTGTACTAAAAATTAAAATAACATTTTTTATACGTGTGGTTTGCATGTAAAGCCTTTTTAATTAAAAAAATTTATAAATAAGCTAATATTAAAACAATTAATCAAAAAATAAAGACACGATAAAATATATAAAAATTGCCTTTTTTTGTGAAAACAACATGGGCAATTTCTAAACATTTTTAACATTACTTTTTAGCTTTATTTTAATTTTTATCGTTGATATAAGTTTTAAAAATAGGATAACATAAGAATAGTATTGAAAATCAAATTTTCTCTCTTGCTTTTCTTCAAAGGAATAAAATGTTACACAAACTGTCAATCTAAAGGAGATAAGTGAGATTTTTAAAACTATGGAGATGTTAAGTGATATTGTAAGAAACCTCAAGGGGGGTCTCTGAGATTATCCCAAAAACTCTATACTGCCATCTTGCTCCTCTCGTTCTAGCTGGCCCAGTAGCAGAAAAAATCAAGCAACTTTTTGACTTCCAGCAGAGGAGAGATAAGCAATTGAGAATTTCATCTAAGGTAGATATCTATTAACTAATTACTTCAATTCATTCCTTTCTTTAATTTTTAGTATTACTAGAGTATTGCAGGTAAATAATTTGCACTCAGTTTTGGGTTTTTTGGGGTTCTTCCTGTTTGAAATTTTTGTATCCAATGAGTGTAAATTGATCCTTGAGAGATCCCCGACCGGCATTTTTTTACTTGGTTTATGGATGTTATGAAACTAAGTCGTTTCTTGAACTTTGTCTATCTGAAATTTGGCTAAATTATAGAGATTTGACCGTAATTTCTGATTGAGAATTTTGTTTGAACTTTCACCTCAGTTGAGTCTTTGTTTTATCTCTTATTCAATGTCGAAAAGGCTCTTGCTTTTTTCATCTGTTACGGCTTCCAATTGTAGTGGTTTTGGTCATCTTTTGTTGTATATGGAAATTTTTGAATTCCATGACGGCTGATTTCTGGCCTTCGAGTTGTCGAATTGATGAATGATGTATTTTGATTGGTCGGTGGGATATAGCACTGAAATTTCTGCACTGTATTTGTTCGGTTATGCATCATAGAATTTTCAAATTGTTTCACAATTCACTGCAACTTGTTGATTCAATAGTGCTGACATTGCAGTTTAAGTCTTCCTTCGTTTTGAATCGTTTGAGTTTCTTAATCAGAACTTCTTTGTGGTTCTGGTTATTTATATAAAGGTGTGAATCCAAATGGTTATTGGTATGGGATTTGGATATTTGCTTTGCCATTGTTGTGCTTACTACTTGTTAATTACTATTTTTTGTTAGCATAAGCATAGAAATTTAGTGATTGCACCAGGTAGTGACTGATTACCCCGAACATAAATGAAGAAATTTATATCTTCTGTTTGTATTCATCATGTGTGCTTCAATCATGCGTACTGTTTGTACTTTTATGCCGCAGTACACCTTGCACCTCTGACAACGGTGAGGATCTGTTTTTCACCTCAGCTGTTGTCGGTTAATTTGGTCAGCATCTGTATGTCGTACGCGATATATTCTCTGGACATAATTCTTTCGCTTCCTCTGTTTAGGTTGACATCCCTCTGTCACTGTTTTCTCCACCTTCTTAAATCTTTGGTTCTCACATGATGCTAGCCTTCATCATTATGATTTTCTAGGATAAGATGATAGTGTTAGAAACGCTTGACAACTTAAACTTCTGCTTTCAGATTTGTTGAAACTACTCATGCTTTATTTTCTTGCACCTTTGGCTGCTTTTACTGTTAGGATATTGCAGCATACTTTGTTTTGACAAAAATGTTATTTAGACAAAGATAGTGTGTACCATGAAGTTGTGAATTGATTCTTGCAGTAAGAATGCTATCAAAATGTGGTTGTACATATTCAGGTAATCTGGAGTTGAACCTCAATTTTTATAGTTCTGTCGAGAAGAAAATTAAATACTGAATTAGTTTTATTTTATATGCAGCTGAATTCTTTTCTTTAATTTCCAAAGGGTGGGCATCTGGGTTGCAGGGTTGTGGGAACCGAAATCTTCTTTATCTTTTCTTTTTTGGCATAAATTGATAATACTGATTTGTTTTTTTAATTATTGTTGTTTATTATCTAAATTCATAAATTGTTTGCTTTAGTGCGGTTGGCTTTCAGCATTGGAAGTCCTAGTGCTTGTGTTGGTGCTGTCAGATTGGAATTTCTGGACGCTAGTGGGAGAACTATCCAGGTAATGGAATTATTTTTCCTGGATTCTTAAGCAAAATGCTTCTAATTTGGCTTTGAAGTTTGAACATGAAGACAGGGCACAAAAATTAGCTTTCCCTTTAATGGATAATGTTGTTTTGGTGCTTGTTATCTGCTGTTGTGTTATAATTAAAAATTTGCGTGGGTTTTGCTCTCTTGTTTGAGTTGATTCTTTTTGTGCAAAGTTCATGCTTTTACTGGGGGAAGTAATCCTTCAAAATTTGGAGATCATAGTTCTAATTCAAGTTTATGGTTCCCTGTCAACCAAACTGACAAGATTCAATCTGCCAAAATTTTCAAATTCTGAACAGAATCTGGCTTGTATCGAGTCATAATATAAACCAGCTACACTGGTAAACAATAAAAAATATAATCCCTATGTCTAAATGTCAATCATGAACAAGTAACTACTTGAAGCACCCATGCTCTGTTGTGAAGAACGTTTGCCTCTATTTTTATGGCTATCTAAATTGTCAGTCGTAGTAATTAAGTGCTGAAACCCCAATCCCTACACTGTGAAGAATTTATCATTTGAATGGTTGATATTTCATTATCAAAGGTTTCGACTTCTAGACCAATTGGACAGGTCCCTCCAAGCAATACTGATAGAAGCATTCTTCCATGGCTGTATGTGAAGTAGGAAACAAGATTGAAAATCTTGATGTTTCACAAACCAGGAAGGAAAATGCATCAGTTCAGATAAAGGTTTTGTTTTTCGCCAGGGCCAGAGATCTGACTGGCTTAAGTGACATGCAATTTGAAGTTTCATCTGGTAGTACTGCCTCTGATTGCTTAGATAAAGTCATTGCCAAATTCCCTGGTTTAAAAGAGATCCGAGGATGTATGGTCCTGGCTCTCAATGAAGAGTACATTGAAGAGTCTGTTATTGTCAAAGATAGAGATGAATTGGCCATCATTCCTCCCATAAGCGGTGGGTAACTATTCTAGTACAGCCGTTATGTTTGCAAGTGTCTAAATAAATGTTGAATACAGGCCATTCCGTGTAACCCTATGTTGAGTAATATTTCAATGTTTTTGTGTAATTTGAGATAATTCAATAATTGGATCTGTAGATTTTTATGGACATTGTCTCACAACAGTCCTTTATGGTCATTTTCCATTACTTATCAGATGGGGGGCCTTTTGACTAGCAATTTTACTGCATAGCTTTTTCCCCCTCTTGAATTTGGTAAAGTTGGACCAAATTTGTCTATAAGGAGGTGACATCTTATTGTGCAATATGCATTTGGCTACCTTTAGTAATTCAGAGATAAAATGACAAGAATTCTTCCACCTTGCTTGTGTATTTGGTTTTAGAAACTTCTGAGATTTGGTGGTCTTTCTTTAGTTACTTTTCATGTCCAACTAGAAAGAAAAACTCAAAATCACTTCTATCAGTTCCTTTCTGGATATTCAACAATTGAATACCCTTCTTTCTTGCTCAAGTACAATCTGAAATCACTTAGGACATGACCAAGTTTTAGTTTAACATTTATCTGTCATCGTTTTGTTCGTTACTTATGGTTGCAAGGCTAGGTTTTGGTGTTGATAGCAAATGTGCCTTGGCAATTTGGGATTGTGGGATTTTGGGCCGAGGTGATGTCGCCCGCCTTGACCCAAGTCATCGATTTTGTTCTTTTTGTTTTTTCTTTTGGTATAAAGATCATGGATATATAAAGAAAGTAATCCAGTGATGGATTCTTAAAAATGAAAATGTATTGAAACCTGTTGGAAGTTGATATTGCCTCTGTAGATGATACTGAGAAATATGTGGAAATGCTACCTATTTTTGTCGATAGTAATGTGTTAACTTTGAAGAAATAGTTAACTCTTCTCTAAGCAAAAAAGATTGAACAGTGAAGAAATAGTTTTTTTTTTACTTCAAAATTTCTACGAAAGGAATATGTGAAATTTTTTTCTTTTTTTTTTTTTTTTAACACAACACAAACATCGTTTCCATTAGTTCATATTACAACTGGAAAAGTCATTACATTCAAAGTCATTCCCTCTAGCTAAATTAGGTAATTCATGAGCTCTCATTATCAGATTCCTTTCTACTTTGACAAAAATGACAGGATGAGATCAGACTAGGATGTCATTGAGTACTGATCTAGCTTCCAAAGGAGAGGTCTCTAGTTTTGAACTTTGCAAATGATGTAGTAGGCCAATACAGTCTGTTTTTGTACATATGGATGCATGGCCTAGCATCCTTGCACAAGTCATTGCCTCTAAGCCTGCTGTTGCCTCTAACTCAAAAAGCTGACTTTTGTTTATACCCGCTTTGCTACTTTGCCACCTGGTTTCTGTATTATGAACCTGACCACACCCTTTCTGGTTGCTTTAACAAAGGATCCATCCACTAATGCACTGACATCACATTGCTTTTCAGCTCTCAGGTCATGTTCATACATAAGAATTAAATTGCCAATTGATACCTTGCTTGATCTAATTCCAGTTGAGAATCTGATTCTCTAGCAGATCGCAATTAAACTGCTATTAGGCTTTAGCTGCCTGCGACAAGGGATAATTTCACAAACTTTCCCTGAGGTTTTTGATAATTGCAGAGAGCTCCCCTTAGGTTTAAAAATTACACATAGCTCCCCTATTTTTACTATTTATGTAACAATGTAGTTTCAACAAGTTAGATTTTTTCTGAAAAATCCTAAATTGCCCATTTATACAAAACTTAAAAAAAAAAAAATACTTAATCACTTTCTTCCATACTTTGCACAAATCAACTATCCTAATTCCTAACAACTGCCTAAACATAAACTCTAGTTCTAAGTATAAGTAGCCGCCCAAATGATTCCAAATTGCATATATAACATTAATTCTTGCCAAGCCAAAAAAAAAAAAAAGAACATACACACAAACACTCGCATCGACAACCAATTTTATACCTCAAAATTAAATCTCAATGCCCCAACACCTTTGTAATGCAAGTTAATCTAGCCTAGAATGACCATTATAACACTTTCATGTCCTTAACATCTAAGAAGTAGAGGATAAATTCTACCTCTACACCAAAATTATAACCAATAATCACTAATCCAACCAAAGAAATCCTTATGCAAATTATTGGCATTTTAGAAAATATTTTTTTTGATAACATATAAAATACAACAAATTCCACATATTTGGTCCTTCTTCCTATTTCAATAATTAATTTCATAATTTATTTCTTTATCACTGTGAGTCTCTTCATTTTTTTCTAGTTTGACATATAATTTGCTTCTTTGTTGATTTTATTATTTCAATTTGCTAATATCCATTAAACTGAAGATAATAAAAAGAGAACATAGCAATATTATATCTAGGAAATAAAGGAGCAGAATAGATATAAGATAGAGAAACATGATTTTTTGGGTTTTGTAAATCTATTGCCTTAAATTGTGAATTGTCTCCTAATTGGAGAGCATTATAGGTATTTTACTACGCCAAGGGAGGTAATTGTAATTGCAAAGTGAAATTGTCAAAAACCTCAAGGGAGGTTTCTGAAATTATCCCCTAAAACTAAGTAAATTTGGGAGGGGGAGATTGATATTGGTTGCTCCAATGACAGAGTCAAAGCCAGACCTGTTAATTGGGAAAGGTGGGCTTAATCTAAAGTGAGAAATTTTGGTTGCCTTGATTTCACTGGTTCGTCTCATACAAATATCATTCTTGGTGCCATTGATGTTGTATTTTTCTTCACTGAAACACTTTAAAAATTCTTTAATTTTGTATTTCTCTTCAACGAGAGCTTCAAAAGTCATTTGAACTTTTGCCTTTTATCCTGCATGGAACGTTCCAAGAGCTCTCTCTGAAGACATGTACTCTTAATTGGTTTTCTAATGCATTTCAAACTTTAATATCCAATATAGTAAACTGCTTAACAATGAAATAAAGACAGGGCATTGAAAAGATTAAGTAAGCACGTTTTTTCTCTCAATCATCGTTGTTCGCTATAACTCCCTCACATGATGTATATCAATTTCTAACTCCCTCAAATTCATCTGTGTGCCGGCTTTTGGAGTATGATCGGGGATTAAGGTTTGTTTAGTCAGTAAAAGTCAATTGACTTCTTGACAAAAAAAAAAAAAAAAAAAATTCATCTGTGTCCTTTCCATCACGAGGCAAACGAATCAAATCGTTCGCGAGAGCTTGTGAATCGGCTTGGTCAAAACTTGACTCAAATTCGATTGACATTGAATTCGAGTTGACCAAGTAAAGCTCGAGCACAAAAAAACTCAACTTGTTAGTTCGCAAGCTGCTTGATTACACACACACACAGATATATATATATATATATATATATATATTAATAGTAAAATTGCATATATATCCCTAAAATTTTGTTATTTGTTAAGGAAAATTCACTATTTTATGCATTTTTAAAATAAAATAATTATTTTTTTATTTTTTTAAGTTGGAGTAGGCTCGAGCTCGAGTTCGACTCGTCTCCAATTTGAAGTCGAGCTTGAATTTGAGTTTGTTAAAATTGAGTTGAGACTTGACCTAATTAGATCAAAATTCGATTCGACTTAACTTGTTTGCAGCCGCTTGGATAATTCAAAAATTGAAAATGGAAAGAGAACCATCATATTTTACTAGTATGATCTCGAATTTTTCTGTTTGTGAGATAGTTGGCCATGACTCATGACTCATGCAGGATGAATGAGGAACAGTTTAGTTATATCAATTGTCGAAGCAGCAAGTGCATGTCCAAGCTATCCGGACGCTACGGCTGCACAAAATGATGGGTCACATTAATAATGTTCGCAGGACATTGCATTTCTGAAATTTTCGTTTACTTCAATCAAAAGCATGACCATGACTTTGTTGTTGTTGTTCACAGAGTAAATTTGGCAATTCACAATTGGATAAAAATGTTTCTGAGAAATTTGGATGGCATTTTTAATTTTTTAGGAGCTCTAAGGGGCTTTTACAAAAATGACACAAACAGTACTTTTTGAGATGCGAAGCACTTGTATGTAAAAAGATGGTTAAAAAATAAAAAAAAATAATTAAAAACGGTGTCAAGGTCTAAAATTTTTTCTGCTTCAAAAAAAAAAGGTCTAATTTTTTTTTTCTTAAAATGTATCTGTCCAAGCAAGATATTTATGCCACGTGTATTTAAAGTTTTAAACTTGATTTGAGCATCCGCTTACAAATCCAATCAAATATTGTCATTAGTTGCTTGAGGAAAACTACATAGCTTCTCAGCAAAAACTTAAAAAAAAAAAAAACCACAATTTTTTTCCACTAGCTTGACAAAATGATAAGGTTAGTAGGTTGTTTCTACACTGCCTTGTAAAATTACATGTATTATAAAATCTAGTTGTATTACTTAATTAGCAAAGGAAAATCAGGTTGCACTCATATTCAGGGAGGAGTTATACATGTCAGAAACCAAGATTTTGAAATCCAACTCGTTAGTTTCTGTCTATGAAAACACAATTGGGAAAATGGGGTTATGGAGTCAAAGGTTTGTCAGACATGAATCTCAAAACTCTACCACAACAATTCATTCAACCACCTGAAGAACGGTTCACTGAGCACACCTTAATCTCAGAAGAATCCATACCTGTGATTGATATTTCAAATTGGAACGATCCCAAGGTTGCAGATATAGTTTGTGATGCGGCAGAGAAATGGGGATTCTTTCAAATTATCAATCATGGGATCCCTGCTGAAATACTTCAAAGTGTGATGGATGCAACTCATAGATTCTTTGAGTTGCCACCAAAGGAGAAGCTGAAGTACAACAAAAAGAACTCTCCGACCACGAATGTCTTTCTCAGAACAAGCTTTGTTCCGGAAATAGAGACTGCTATGGAGTGGCACGACAAACTTACCTTTCTCTATGTGGCCTCCAATCTGCAGGTAGTTACCAAAAATAGAATATAAGCACAGAGCAATATTCTTGGCCTTTCATACAATGCAATTTTTGATACGACCTGAAACCGTCAAGTCATATTGCTGATTCTTGATCGACCCTAAATGCGAGCTCAGTTTTCATTAGCCAGGATCATTTTTTGCTTTCATTACCCTGCCTCAAGCTGTCTCAAAACCTTGACCTTAAATCCTATTCATTTTAATTCTTCTGTTTCAACAACTAAATTTCTAGAAGAGTTTTCAAACACATTTTGCAATCACATGCTTGGCACTAGGCCATTATTGACCTGATAAATCTCATAAAATATGTGCGTTTGCTTGATTTCAGGAATCAAGTACTTGACTACATAAAGCCATGTGAA